CAATCAAGTGGACGGAACAGGAAGTTCGTGTACCAGTTACTTGCCCGCTCACTCCAGAGTTTTAGTCAGGTGTCGAGCGTAAGGTTGTTGTTGCCATGACCCAGATATATTCTAACCAAAATGGTTTGGAAAAGGATGTCAGGTTGCCAGCTCGCTCGCTTCAGATTTTGAGTCCTTGAATTTGTGTAAGTTAAGTAGGACTTACCCAAATATATCAGAGTAGTGAGGAGACAGTCTGTGATTTAGAGCCATTGTTGAAGAGTGTGGGAGATCATCCAGAGGTTCAGCTTCTGACAAATAGATGGAGACCTCTTGAGCCTCCCTCTTCAGTTGACTGTGAGGGTGTGACCCAGTTTAGTAGGTTTACTGATTGTAAACAGACAGTGCTCCAAGCATTTTAAGATTATGTCATGGGAGGACAATTTGGTAAATATTGCATAACATTTAATAGTCTTAACATGTCTTCTATTCTTAAATTGCAGAGTGTTGTGGCCAATTATTCTTGTTCCACGTGGATTAAGTGTTTAACATTCGGTAACTCAAGTCAGAGTGTTATTAGGGCTTTATTGCAAACTGTTGTTGTACCACAAGAACCATTCTCCCTTGTAGTAATGGACTGTGTGTCATCTTTGCCCAGAACTATTGCTGTGAATAGCAATTTTAATCCAATGAGTTGTACGTCCAGATTTCCAAAAACAGTTGAGTGGAAGTCTAAAGCAGTGTCTCTTATTTTGCATCCGGTACGTTACTTTACTACAAATGTAGTTTACAGAACTTATATTAAGTTCAAGTATAGTCTTGATTCTCAGAGTCAAAGTGGTGTTGTACGGTTTCGTCCGATTTTGAAGCAGATGTTTAAGGTCACAGGTGAGAGAGAGCTTTAAGTTGGAGTGCGACATGAATATCCCACATGTTTGGTTTGTTGAGTGTGTAGGGTTACAGGTTGTCCTTGGATGGTTCCCAGGTAATCTGGTATTCATCTACCAGGTGATAAGACCCCTACCACGGTTGCTTGGTTATTCAAAGTCACCAGAAGTTACTGAATGTAGTTTATAGTAAATGTTATCAAAGTTCCAGAGTGGTTCTGTTACTTACCTGGGAGGCCAGGATGGCTATAATGGCTTGTTTTGTCTTAAAGTTCACAGTCAGAAGGTGTGAGCTTGTTCTTGTGGTTGTGATTCCGATACAGTGCTTAGGAACAATCATGTCTTCTTACTCTAATAGTTCTGGTAGAGTTACGAAGCGCTGACTTATTTGTCCAACACTGATGGTCACCTGAGTCAGTTCAGACAAATGTTCCTTGCACTTTTCCTTGCTGTTCTTCTCTGTTGCGACAGACGTAAGAGGTCGACTTATAAATCTTGTTTTGTGATTGGTGGTTCCAAGAGTGAAGAAGTTTCGAATGTGTCGGAGTGGTCTAACCCTGTTTCTTCTACTTTTAGTTCATATTGGCCGAGGCTATATGTTCCACAGAAGATCCATAGTGATGGGGACCAGCAGATCCTGAAAGGGTTTTACCAGATCTGGAAAGTGTCTGCCCAGATCACTCTCATTACCCAGGAGAAGTCCCTCAACCAACCCACATCCAGTCAACTTCACATAAGTAGGTTAACTCTAGGAAAAGGAAGTAATAACCAGTGTGAAATTTATCAATTTGCGCAAAACAGGATGTAACAGCTCCAGACGTACTCATGTTATCCTAAACAGAGCTCTTTGTATGAAAACAATTGTTGGAACTATACTAAGTGTCTATATTATGTAGTTCTTTAAAAAAGTACTTTAACTTGCTATATAAAAGTGTTGTGAAATGTTTACCATGCATAAAATGGTTACGTTGGTGTTATTGATCTAATAAGAGTTTAACAGTGAACCCCGCTAAATTGAAAACTTCTCTACTAGATTATGCTTTCCCAAACTGTCATTCATGTGAGTGGGTTGATTGAACTTAATTCCCATGTGAACCTTGATAAATGTGGTGATTATAGCATGAACACATTTGCTGATAAAAGTAATTACCTCATGTATGTAGGTGGACAGAATAAGATAGTGCCCTGGAGGGATAAATGTGTTGGAAATCCCGGAGGTACAGGTATGAATACCCTGAAGTGTACAGACAGTGGTGTAGGACATGACCAGAGAAAGGAACTTGTTGCTGTTGCCACCATGATTTGTGAGAATTCTCATGTGAGAAATATAATGTATATTTTTTAACTTTGACTAAATAAATTGAAATTGTGTTGCAAGGAGATATACCTTGATATATATTATATTCATGAATTATTACATGTTGTTCTTAAGATGTTGATTATGTGTGTTTATTTACATTTCAATTGTCATATGTTTTATTTGTGTATATTCTAAGGCTCCTTGACATTTCAAGTACTAACCTCTGACCTTACCTCTAGAAAAAATTCTATTATTCTTCAATTCATTACATTTTTTATCTTGGAGGTGGGGGTATGTTACGAATCAGGAAGGCCAGATTCTCACTAGGTGAATAATACTGCCTTCTGAATTATTACAATCAAATTTGCATGTGGTGCGAGTGGTTACATATTATATTTGTTAGCATTATATTGTATTTCATATGATATATTACTGTATCTTATAAGTCCTATGGTAATGTATGTTGGTATGAGAGGTGGTCAAGTAATCACGTACTTGCCTGTGGAATGAACGGGTATAACACGCGTAGCATACGTGTGAGGTGAGGGAATGTGTTGATCATGCTTCCAGTTAGAAGTATTGTGTCCTTTTAGAATGTTTGTTTATTTGAGTTATTATTCCAGAGTGTATGAAATATTATACTAGTATAATGATATCTGTTTGGGATTGGTTGCTTCCTATGAAGTGTGTTAATTTAGAGAATATATCAGACGTCCTGGTTACTGTGTGTGTGAGGTGCGTCTGGTCGAGGGAGGGGAAAGATGTGTGTGTGAGAGAGGTGCGTCTGGTCGAGGGAGGGGAAAGATGTGTGTGTGAGAGAGGTGCGTCTGGTCGAGGGAGGGGAAAGATGTGTGTGTGTGTGAGGTGCGTCTGGTCGAGGGAGGGGAAAGATGTGTGTGTGAGAGAGGTGCGTCTGGTCGAGGGAGGGGAAAGATGTGTGTGTGAGAGAGGTGCGTCTGGTCGAGGGAGGGGAAAGATGTGTGTGTGTGAGAGGTGCGTCTGGTCGAGGGAGGGGAAAGATGTGTGTGTGAGAGAGGTGCGTCTGGTTGAGGGAGGGGAAAGATGTGTGTGTGTGTGAGGTGCGTCTGGTCGAGGGAGGGGAAAGATGTGTGTGTGAGAGAGGTGCGTCTGGTCGAGGGAGGGGAAAGATGTGTGTGTGTGTGAGGTGCGTCTGGTCGAGGGAGGGGAAAGATGTGTGTGTGAGAGAGGTGCGTCTGGTCGAGGGAGGGGAAAGATACAGAAGTCAGACACTGGTGGCACTTGGCTCAGGAAACATCTTTTTTTATTAAGTTAAGTCTATATTATTTTGTTTTTGTTTTCTAGGTTTTGATAACCATATCTGTATATATACAAGATACTCTATGATTAAGCCTAAATATTATTTTTATATATTATGTCGAGTGGGATCATAAGCCAAATGGAGATAATTTTTGTCAGTTGTAAGAATATTATCATAAGTTATACTTTTACTTGTGTTTGTGTCCGTCCATCAGTAACTTACTGGTGCTTGTATGTTTACATCACAGGGATTATAGCATCAGACCCAAGATATAATAAAACATGATAGCCTGGGTAAATGTTATTCCTGTGTCGGGTACGAGTCTAGTTAGAAAGCGGGGTGTATAACACGCCCCTCCAAAATCCTGTGGTCCCTCCAAAACACTGGGGGACCCCTCCAAAACCCTGGAGGTCCCTCCAAAACCCTGGGGGTCCCTCCAAAACCCTGGGGGTCCCTCCAAAACCCTGGGGGTACCTCCAAAACCCTGGGGGTCCCTCCAAAACACTGGGGGACCCCTCCAAAACATTGGGTATCCAAAATATTAGTTTTGGAGGAATCAAGTGTTGTGAAGATCTTGTATTCTGGAGATGTTACATATGGATTTCGGGCTATGGAAAGATTCAGAAAATTAATCTGTTTTTCTGCCAGTCCAATATGTGTTGGACTGTAATAAAATGAATTCAGCTAAACTAACTTGGAGCTATTCAGGTAAACTACGAGGATTACCACTGGAACTGGAGAGCTTCAGTGCACGTGGTTGTTGTTGTACATGGTCTTCAGGTAGTCGGTGCCTGCATGAACATTGAGTCTAATAAAGATCCTGTGTAAATAAGATCTTGTATAGTGAATTTACTTGTTATACACGATCCTCAAGAACTCGGGTTCAAATCATATGCAGTTAAGATCTTGTAAGGTGATGATTGTACTGCAATAATGTAGAGTGACGATTGTGCACAGTGAAAATCTAATAGTAAGGATATATAGTTTGATGAATAAAATGCATGGGTGAGACATTTTCACTTCCCACGAGATCATAATGTACATGAACCCTTAGGGACCGGGAGGGTCGTCCCTCTTGCCCATTAGGCAACACCGGTAACCTCCGCTAATAATAATATTTTGTCCAATAATAATTCTACATAATTTTAGGAAGGGATTAAATAATTTTGCCTGAGTTGCGAACAGATGTATGTAAAGCCTTACCTGATAACTTCGGCGTTAACAGATGTAACTGTGATGTGAACAGGTGTCAACAGTTGAGGCTGGGGTTTGAACAGGTACGACGTGCATGAATTAGTGCACCAGAGGCGTGAATAATATTGGACGACGTATTATGAGCTTTGATTTTAGTTCTAGCAATTGCGTAAGGTATGAACACTTGTGACTTGCCGAATCTTAGCACAACAGATGTGAGTGTGGATTAAACACATGTGGTCGTGGGGGTAAACATGTTTATTACTGGTGTGCATAAAGAAAAAACGTAGGTAATTATCACTAATTGGTTAGATTTTGACTTGAATAAGGAACTCTTAACACAAAGGGCAAAACGGCTAACCATTCAATATATGTACGAGGACCTTGGCGACGGGTGCGCTGCTGGGGTTACAGGAATATGTGCCGGAGTCCTTGAGAGAGGCGCGCCTCACTAAGAGGTTGGACGTGGTCCTGGCACCTTTCTCCGTCACCACACTCACCCCGCCTCGGTCGCTGTCGTACGTGATCACCTGCACCAACACACAACCATTACTCACACATACTATAATAACATCACTACTATTATAACAACAATTACTAATACTATTTCCACAAATACCCAACTTACTATTACTAATAATATAATTACTCTTACTGATACTACCACAACTTCTAATATTATGATAATGTTGGTTGGATGAACTAGATCATGACTGATAATGTGTACCAACCTGTTGGGCGTCTTAAAGCATAAAACTGTAATACAGAACAATGAAGGAACAAGTCATTATAAGTCAAGCCCAGCAGGCAGTAGAGAGAATTTGGACCTTGGACGGACTTCTAGTCATATGTAGCAATTATGCAATAAGAAGAATTTCCTTGTTAACATTTAACCTAGATATATTATATTGCAAAAAAATATATGTAAACCTGGAAGAGAAGATTGAACATTTATAAATAGGATTTTAATGAGATAGGAGTTATGAAGTACTTAATTAAAAAGGACAGATATAAAACAAAAATATTGGAAGGAAGAGACAATTAATATGCTAATGGTTTACTAAACAAATAATAGAATTTCTATCTTATAAATGTTTCAAAAACTTCCAACTTCATTAAAGAAATGAGTTTAACTTATGAAGATTACTGAGATAGAAGACAAATGTTAATGTCGAGTATAGACATCGAGTATGGTCGACTTTAGCAACGCGAGAGTCGGTGATATTGGAGAGAACGATCCATTGTTTGCAAACTTGGCTTTTGTAACATTGGATATTTCTAATGTGAATAACAACGGAAACGATTATGGTATGACAGACAGCAACAGCACATCAGACAGGGAATTCACCCTACAGTTTTATCACCTTTCTAAGGTGCCATCCGGTCAAGGTGAACTTTCTAAGGTGACATCCGGTCAAGGTGAACTTTCTAAGGTGACATCAGGTCAAGGTGAACTTTCTAAGGTGACATCCGGTCAAGGTGAAGAATGCCTATAAGTGAGGAAGGAAGACGTGTGTATGTAGCCAGTCTGTGAGCACACAGCAGGTAACAATGTTGCCTCATCTGACCACAGTGATGCAGGCAAGTCACACACAGCCACACAACAGAAGAGTAAGGGGAGACATGATGACCACCTACAAAATTATCAGGGAACTTGACAGGGTGGACAAAGACAAACTCTTCAGCACGGGTGGAACACGAACAAGGGGACACAGGTGGAAACTTAGTACCCAAATGAGCCACAGAGACGTTACAAAGAATTTTTTCAGTGTCAGAGTAGTTAACAAGTGGAACGCACTAGGAAGTGATGTGGTGGAGGCTGATTCTATACACTGTTTCAAACGTAGGTATGATAGAGCCCAATAGGCTCAGGAACCTGTACACCAGTTTATTGACAGTTGAGAGGCGGGACCAAAGAGACAAAGCTTAACCCCCGCAAGCACAACTAGGTGAGTACGAATAGGTGAGTACATCGCTGCCATCCCTCTCCCTCACCACCTTCCCTCTCCTTCACCACCTTCCCTCTCCCTCACCACCTTCCCTCTCCTTCACCACCTTCCCTCTCCTTCACCACCTTCCCTCTCCCTCACCACCTTCCCTCTCCTTCACCACCTTTCCTCTCCCTCACCACCTTCCTTCCCTCTCCTCCCTCACTCACCACCTTCCCTCTCCCTCACCACCTCCCTCTCCCTCCCTCTCCCTCACCACCTTCCCTTCCCTCTCCCCTTCACCACCTTCCCTCTCCCTCACCACCTTCCCTTCACCACCTTCCCTCTCCCTCACCACCTTCCCTCTCCCTCACCACCTTCCCTCTCCCTCACCACCTTCCCTCTCCCTCACCACCTTCCCTCTCCTCACCACCTTCCCTCTCCCTCACCACCTTCCCTCTCCCTCACCACCTTCCCTCTCCCTCACCACCTTCCCTCTCCTCACCACCTTCCCTCTCCCTCACCACCTTCCCTCTCCCTCTCTCCCTCACCACCTTCCCTTCCCTCTCCCTCACCACCTTCCCTCTCCCTCACCACCTTCCCTCTCCCTCACCACCTTCCCTCTCCCTCACCACCTTCCCTCTCCCTCACCACCTTCCCCCTCTCCCTCCCTCTCACCACCTTCCCTCTCCCTCACCACCCTCACCCTCTCCCTCACCACCCTCCCTCTCCCTCACCACCTTCCCTCTCCCTCACCACCTTCCCTCTCCTTCACTACCTTCCACAACCTTCACAACCCTCTACCACCTCTCTACCATTCACCGCCTTCTCAACTCTTCACGATTTTCCGTTCATCACTGTATTCATCATCTTCACAGAACACTATGTACAGCAGTAAAAACATCTACATGTCAAACTAACATTTAATCATCACATAGAAAATAGTATGATTGTTGAATCTTACTGAGGATGAAGTCTGGCATTTAGCAAGATGGAAAATTAGTATAATTTCTCATTTCATATAATGGGTGTGGAGGTGGATGAGGGTCGGCC